ACGGTTTAGTCAGGTTTGCTTTATTATACAAACAAAGGAAATAAATCCTTGAGTTATTAACTTTGCAGCAATAAGCTACCTGTGTAGCAATACAGTAAAATAAGTAAGCAATGGAATAACTACCTATTAATACCTAACCTAATACCTAACCATCATAACCCAGCTTGGTGCAGGGTTATGATGGTTTATTGGTTTATTTATCACCAGCTTTTGGGCCGATCCAAAAAAGACTGTTAAAAATATTCATAAGTCCTTTTTGTCATTTTGCTCAAGTCTCGAAAGAGACACAGGAAATGTGAAAGAAGATGCTTTGGTCAGATGAGACACATGTTGAAAGAACACTAAGGGCGTTTCTCAATATGCGTTCTTGAGCGTTCTCGTGTGCTCGTGTACTCGTGACACGTCATCAGCCTCAGCCCGAGTACCGTTCCAATTCTCGAGAACGCCAGATCGAGTGACCAGCAGACCTCCGAGGGTAACCGCAGCCAGGGCTAAATTTACCCCGTCTGTAGTGCACTGCTCTCGGTCGAGTTATGTGTGAACTACCGCTCGTTCTGATGCTGTTTTTTTGCGGTTCGGTAATTTTTTTAAATGTTTTTTAAGCTTTAGAAATTAAAAATATTGTTTTCAAAATTTTTTGTGTAGGGAATAAATAGTTTTGACTGTTAAAGAAATGCTAAAGAACGTTGCATGTGATGACGTCACGAGTACGCTTCTGTTCCAATACACATACGTGCTTGCGTGCCCGCGTTCTCGTCAAGTTCGATCTTCCTGCGTTCTCGCCAAGAACGGACTTCACGAGAACGGGAGTACGTACTCGCGTTCTCGTGAATTGAGAAACGCCCTAACACTTAATGTGACCCTGAATATACAATCTCCAAAGAGAAGTGCGATAAGGTAATGGTAGGAGCATTATGCTTTGGACATTTTTTTTCTGCTACAGCTGGGACAGTTAAGTTGGTCAGAGTTTATAGGAAAATTAGGTACACAGGACAATTATGAAAGAAAATATTTGTCAAATAACCAGAGATTTACCTTCCAACATAATATAAATATACAAGAAGAGTCTTGCTTTAATAAATGTAGCTGATTTAAATGAGCCATTTCATGTAATCTTAGTGAGATTCAACTATGCTGCAAAGAAGAATGAGAAAAAAAATCCCTTCAGTTTGATAATTGCATATTCTCCTGTATTGGTCAATCAAATAAAATCCCATTAAGATAAATTTACCTTTGGAAATGAATACCTTTGCAAACCCTACCAGCTAACTTTATTTGTCCTGTAACCGGGCAGGTGCAATGTCCTCAACATATGTTAATTTCTTTGATACAGCTTTGATTAGGAAGTTTTCTTTTTGTCTTTATTTTATCTTTGTTAAAAGTCCTGAGTTTATGTTCTCCTCTTATCTCCCAGTGGTCTGGCTCCATCCACCCCTCTGTGCCATTCTACCAGTCCCCAGTGGGCACAGCCAGCCAGTCTGGCCAGGTCTGCCCCTTGCTGTGCCCCTGTGCAGGATAAGCTCCCGTCTGGACTTTGGGCTGAGGCCTTTGTATAGAGCTGTGGGGGTGTTCGTGTGCGTGCGCTTTTTCTGGGGTTATATGTGTGCATAGCTTTCGGAACAAATGAGAAGAAGGGGGTCCAATCTGTGCCTGAGGGAAACCTACTAACACCTCCACCCCTGACTCCCCCTAACGCACCCTCACATGTGCCCTATTGAAGCCTAAGGGAGCGTGAACAATCACTGCAGAACCAAAGAGCTAAGTCCCCTTGTTATACAAGCCCAATTTTCAGCACCAGCCCTACCTCTAGCCTATATCATGGGTTCCACCCCCAGCCCAGCATTCCCCTCATCAGAGGCTGAAGAGCTTTGTTAAAGCGAGCCAGGCCCCTTTAATGTCGTTATTTAATTAGCCATTCCACAGTGAAACTACCATCCGGCACCACTGCTACCTCAAACTCCCTCGTTTCTTTTGCTAACCCTCCTAATCATCACGTCTTTTGCCTCTTTACACACTTGCCATCATAACTGTCCATCCAGACAGTTTCATGAGCCTCTCTCTTTTTTTCCTTTCTCCTCGTCTTTATCTTCAGTAATTAGCCAGGGAATGGGGGCCGACTTATGACTAGGTTGCTTGAGCATTTGTGCTTTAGACAGAGAAGAGGGGAAGTGCTTCTCCCCACATGGGGTTTCTCTCTCAGGACACCACCCTAAGACCTGTGGAGGGAAACAAAGAGACCAGCTCGTTCTACAGTAGCCAGCTCAGCCTTACTGTCCCCGCTGCCCGCTGGGTTCTGTCTCCATCAGAACTCTAATTATTAACCAGATTATGAATGTGTGTCCCCTCGTGTTGTTGGGGTCAGTGGGAATTTACTAATGGAATGCAAAAAATATACAAAGAGGTTTGCCTTAAAACATTTAAGGCAAACCTCTTTGTAGATAGAGTAAAGCATCATAATTTACCTTTTCTATCTGGTACAAAAAGTTCAATTCTCCATCAAGATGATACTTGTTTTATTTACCTCTGAGGGACACCACTTAGTAAAGAAACGTGATGGGAAACGTGATGTTGTGTCACAATTTGCTCTTGTAATCAGTTCCCAAAAATCAGGAGAAGAACCATCTTTCTTCTTCATTCCAAAACCACTTAAAGGTATAGTGGAGTATTTTTTGAAAATACCCACCCTCTCCACATAAAAATAAAGCACTTGCACAACCCTGTATCCGCTCCTGAAAGGGAACTGCTTTTAAAAGTTGCTGTTTGCATCGCTCATACAAGCTTACTTTCCAAAATGTTTTCCACTATGTCAGACTCACCACCAGTAAGTGAAAATAGGAACAAGCACATAGTATTGCCTTATGTTGGATCTGTAGTTATAGTTATACAAATGCATATATATATATATATATATATATATATATATATATATATATATATATATATATATATATATATATATATATATATATATATATATATATATAAATATAGAGAGAGTTATATATGTATATATTTATATTTAAATCCTCCACTACACCTTTAAGGTGGGTCTGAGTGGAAAAAGTAGTGATCTTGCAATCAGAAACTTGTAGGTTTAATCCTTACCTCTGTCACGTGTCGATGTACACCTGAGCAAGGCCCCTATCTCTTAGATGGCAACCGCTCTGTATTGCAAATCATTAATATGTGCCGGTTTGCGAGTACGATTGGGTAAATTTGTCTTTGAGGGGTCAGTATGACTATTAAGTTGCTAAATAAAAATCACTCTATTTGCCATCAGTCAGTCATATTTGATGGAAAGAGTGCCCTCTTCCAGGTCCTGCCACAGATTTTTGATTGTGTTTAGGTCATATGTAAACATATTCCACTGTAGTTCTGGTAGCATGTTATAGGTTTTTGTTCTGCTGGAAGGTAAACCTCCATCATAATCTCAATCTTCTGGATCCTTCATAGGATTGCTAGTATCCATCAAATCTCTTGTTGAATCCCCCATAGTCTATGACCCTCAAAAGAAGCATCTCAAATTCAGGTTCCTTCCATCATATTTTACAGAAAGGAGTGTGTATTTAGGTGGATGGTGATGCTCATAGCTTTTTTGCCAAAAACCCAAAAAAAATGCTAATTTAGTTTCATCTGACCAGGGCTCCTTCTTTTTTTTCTTTAAAACCGACTTACTTCAGCTATCTTTCAAAAGTGGGCTATTGTTCTTGTCAGTAAAGAAAAAAGATTAGTGGCACACGCTACAAATTCTTATCCAGTTTTGGTGGATGGCCCTGTGTCAGTACGATAACTGTTGTGCCATAATAACAGGCTGAAAGCAAGCTTTAGATATTGTTTTATAGCATACGCTTTATGCATCTGCACAACATTATCCCTGACATGTCTGCTGTGTCCTTTGATCTTCATAACACTGTTAGTTTACTGAAGTTTATGACATGAAAAAGGTGAACAAGTCCAAGGGGTGTGAATACATTTGAGGGTTCATTGTTCACGTGGATTCAGATACATAAGCAAGAAAAAAAGTGCTTGTTGATACAGCAGTAATTAAACAGATTAACATGAGTTGCACTGCAAAGATTTTTTCCCCTTATGCTCTTAAACAGTAGTAACAGAGGGAGAGCATTTGAAGCGCAGTTCATGTTGGATTAACGCCCTCTAGTGACTACAAAAAGACGCAAGATGAAAGTAAGCCAAATTGTACAGATCAGCTCAAGTGAACATACATAAAATCCATTGTATGGAAACATCTATTATCTTTATTTACTTATACAAAGTAGGCCAAAACGTATTACTGACATTGATCTAATCTATTATCTATGGGCTTTTGAAGCTAAGTAGATTGTTATAATGCATAACAAATTAATGCAATCAGGATCTATTCCAAGATGCCATAAGGAGGAAAGGCATTGCTTAAACAAAAACAGAAAGTGCTTCTTTAATGGGAAAGGTTCTGATTGGCTATCCATGGTTTGGCCATTTATAGCCCCTTAATTATAAGCCCATTTTGTGACCTCTGGGGTTCAGCGGGGCCAATTCCTGTGCAGACCCAAATCTTGATGAACAAAGGTGGAATGCGATGCCCTCAGCTCCACAGACAAGCTTCCAAACGTTTCCCATCGATTTCATGGGAAAGTTCAAGCCAAGGAAACTCTTCCAATGCTTAAGCCTGAGATTGACAGCGCATTGAAACCATTAGTCTGTGCTGATGAAAGAGGTAGAGGATTGTAGAGTTGAGGTAAAGTTCTCTGTGTTCTATTATTTTTCTATATATCTGTTGTTAAGTCTTAGAATATGATTTCTTTTCTGCACCTTACAGACTAAATCTGGTGCTTTAGGACCCTGCTGATGCTTGTCATAGTGCTGATATTTTCCACGTTGTGAGGGGAGGAAGGGGGTGGGAGGGGAGGGGAGCCCCTGGGCTGTCAATCACAGTGAAAGTGGCAGGGGTGGGCAGGCCCTTCTGACACTTTGTACTGGCGGAGGCGGATATTTAACTTGGGACTGCGCTCCTCTTGCTGCAGACACACACTCTCTCACACACAGTGAAAAGCTCCACCGCCAAGACTCCTGCAGTATAGTAGCAACACGGTAGGAGCTTCTGTAAGCAGTTATCAGAGCCGTAGAAAGCGGGGTCCCTCAGGAACCTGAAGCGCTCCAGACAATGTTGGACTATTTAGTCATGAATTGCAATTCTGGGCTTTTTTGAGAGGATTTAGCAATGCTGCGCTCAGAGCAACTCTGAACTCTTCTCACTTGCAGACGTTTTGCTTTTGCATGCTTTCACGTGAAATGCACAGACGCTGGTAGTTGTTGCAAAGCCGGCTGTCTTAGAGTTCCTCCAAACTAAGACTATTTTATTAGCAAGGGGAAAAAACTGATCTGCGATTTGGAGCAACTGAAAATATGGATGGATCTTATTTCTTGAGTTGAGATTTTGCACCCTGGACCACTGGGAGTAGCGGCAGAGAGAGCAGGCTGCATGTTCACGGACTGTGCGCTCTGGGACTTTTGGCAACTATCAGCGCGTCAGGCAACGTAAAGAGGGAGCCGTGCGTAAAAATAACACACATCGCCAGCTGCTGACATTCAAAACTTGGATTTTGTTCATTCATTCCATGCTATTCTCTCCACGGCTACTGTCATCCGAAGTGAGGACAGTTCGCCGTGTCTTCCAATCCCTCAGCGGTAACCATGACAACCTAAAGAAACCCAAAGTGAATTCAAGGAGCGGGTGAGGCAGATGAGAGTGTGAATAGAAGGCTTTCCCAATTTTTGGGGGCTGCTGTGGCGCAAATTTTGCAATTATTTTCATATAATCCAAACTCTCTGTTAAAAGTCACTGCCTCTAGCTTTGGACTGAACTTATGACGCCTTGCCTTACAGACAGCACAGCCATTCTGAGAAGAACTGAATAATTGCTTTGCTGCACCCACCCTGACAGAGAAGAGCCGGTGCGCGTATTAAGGAGGAATAATGGGCTTCTCGCAAACGCTCCTGGTTTACGCGCTGGTGTGCGTCCATCTCGGAGTTTCTCAGCCTTTCTTTCGGCTCCGTCCGCAGCCCAGCGATAACCTCCCCGTCCCGGATCTCAAGGAGGATCCCGATCCGGAGTACGACCCCCGGGAGCAGGACTTGGCCGAAAAGCCTCTAAGGAGAAAGCTCGGCAGCCACTTTGACCCTAACTTCATGTCCATCAGCGCACCACAGCCGGTGAACCTCTCCACCTCGGACGCCCAGTGGAAGCCACCGGGCCACATGCCCAACGAGATTAAAAAGCTGGACCTCACGGAGACCCCTTACGGGAAACGGTTAAAAGTGGGTAAGAAAGCGCGAAGGAAATTCCTGCAGCTTCTCTGGACATACACATACTGCCCTGTGGTGTACACTTGGAAGGACCTGGGCGTGAGGTTCTGGCCGCGCTACATCAAGGAGGGGAACTGCTCTTCGGAGCGCTCATGCTCCTTCCCTGAGGGGATGTCCTGCAAAGCTGTTAAGTCCATCAGCAAGACTTTCCTGCGGTGGTATTGCCAAGGCTTTCTAAGACAAAAATACTGTACGTGGATACCGGTGCAATACCCAATCATCTCAGAGTGCAAGTGTATGTGCTGAGTTTACTCCAATGAAGTGGACTGGAACTACAGTTTGAATTGCACTGTTAACTCTCTACAGAGGTGGGCACCATAGCAGATCTATTTTTTTATATGGCATTTAAGTGAAATACCTACATTGTACATATCTAAGGGAAAAAAATGCAGCTATTTTTTTTTTTATTGAACTTGGACCATATTCAAACATTGTTTATTTTTTCCTCCTGCCGGAGACCTTCATGAGGAAGAGCTTTTTTATATAAATATATTTTTATGAGACATTGATGAAGGAATTCATAATATGCTACACTTCTCCAAGAGGTGACCTTTATTTTTTTCCTCCAACTGAACAATGATGCTGTCTGTTATTTCACTGCAATGCTGCCAAGAGTTTTTGTATAATATTAATATCAATAATTATTAAACTGTAAAAAGTTGAGGTTTTATATATATATATATATATATATATATATATATATATATATATATATATATATATATATATATATATATATATATATATATATATATATATATATATGTATGTATGTATAAAAGGCGTGAACTCAGCTTTTTTTGAATACTTAGAGTTGTAGAAATAAGCAAATCTGTATGTTTTATTTATTACTTTAACGATTTGTGAGTATAGATCATAAGGAAAGAAAATAGCAGAATATTACCAGAAAGAAATACAGAAGATGTCTACTTGAATATTTTTAAAAGTGACAAAAAAATAAATAAATAAATGAAAAAGATAAGGCATATCAGTGTATATATTATGGTTACATATGTCAGCAATAAAGTCTGTCTTTTCAGTGTGTTTTAGTGTCAAAAAGTGTTGCTAAAAATAGTTTTCTGTTCAGAGGGGGAATGTACACTGTAAAAAATACATCTAGAAGGGGTCATTTTTAGTCTGAAAATGTTGGAGCTATGGTTAGGCGATACCCTACAAACCTGGCTAAAATATGTTGTTAGTAGGTGACTGTGAAGATGACAAATGGTAATTACTCTTTTTGATGCTATAACAGAGATCAAACTGCTCTAAAGGCAGAAATATTGATCCCTATCGGCAAAAACTCTGTTATATTAATATTGAATATTCATTGCATTTAATTATTGAATGCAGCAGTTTTTTTATCTTTACTGAAAGCTTCACTAAAAGGTTTTAAAACAGCCTATCTTTTCAAGGTTATTTGATGTGTTGAAATGTTGACTGAGAAGCAACTTGTCTCTAAAATGGACTTTTAATGTCAAGGAAGGAGCCCATCCAAATTAACCTAAGCAACCAATTAGGATCTTTCCAAAAAAATCTGGTGTAACAATTTACTTGCATTTTAGTGAGAGAGATTTTTAAAATCTATATGCAACAGCTAAAAGACAAAGGTAAATTTTAACAAAGCATTTAAATCTTTCTCCCTATTGAGCTTGTCTGCCAATGTTACAAGGAAATGAAAAAATCTACACTTGTTTATGATTAAGGCATAACATGTTAATGAAATAGCAATATTTTGATATGTCGATCCCAAGTACTGTCTAGATTTGTCATAGTGCTGACACCCACTGTCTTGTCATTTGATAATGAAACCTATTAACATCTTAAACTTTGGTGTTAGCACTGTTACCCTATAGGACGAGCTTACTACAAACATAAATGCAAACACAAAAATGGCCTCAAACACAAGTCTGATGACAGGTCTTGATATTTACTTATCTTAAATATTCAACATTACATCCTACAAATGTGTCAACTTTAGCATTTTCTTCTGCACAACTTAAGCAATAATCTAACTGTTTATGTATGATCAGCGATCCAAAATATAGTGGGTTTTCATTTGGCCCCCTTTTAAACATATATTTTCAAATTGATATTTTTAAACGAAATATGATATGCTCCTAATTGTAGTTATTGAAAACTCACCTAAATCTATTTCCACACTGTTTTCTAGAATTTTTTTTTTTGTCTGGATAAGTTTTGTTTAACTGGGATTTCATTTGGAATAAGTATTGTAAAACCTAAAAAACATAAACTGATTTGTGTTTTAACAAATATTACTAAAATGTTTCAGTCATATCTTTTTCAATGCTTTGAAGGTAGAAAAAAAATAGAATAAAAAAAAACCAATAAGTCCTCATCAAATGTACTTTCAACTTTTTGGATTTTATGGGCCGAGAACATTTGATTATATATATTTGTCATCCAGATTTGTCTGGCACATTTATGAATATATTTCTAGAAGGAATGCTTTTTATATAACATTTTTAGAAAAAAAACATAAGGATTCTTAACCAAAATATAGCAGTTCAAGTGTTATCACATTTTGCATAAGGAAAAGACACTGAACTGGTGGTTAGGCATCCAAGGTTGTTTTAGCCCAGGGCCTCACATTCTCTTACATACGGCCCTGGATGTATGCTGAAACTTTTATTTTTTTTCCTTTTTTGCACAATGTAGATGGTTAAGAGCAGTTAGGCTACTTAACCGCACACGTTTCTGTGGCTCTGTGTGGATTGCTTGAGTGTTCCTTATTTCTATTTTAAAAAGGGTCTGATTTTCTACGCAACACATACCCGGAGCGCCTCCACAGAACTGGCATTCATTTGTCAGGGAAGGAGAGAGAAAGAGAGGTTGGAGTCTGTGAGGGGGGAGATCCACGCACGTTCATCCCCACTGTCTACTGTCTGCTCACATGCTGGTTTCCAGGGATCCGAGGTGTTAACATAATGCGTAAAATATGATTCAGACTTGTCAAACAGTGTCAAATGATGAAATGGCGAAGCGTCTGGGGTCTGGAAGCCCCACACAAGTTCCACTGAGGTATTTGTGTAGAGGTGGAATGGAGCAGACCGGCGCCTGTTGGAGTCTGACCGCCCCTGAGACAGAAAAAAGAGACAGAAAAACAAAAACAAAACAAAGCCCAAATAAAACAATGGTCAGCTCTTTTTCACGTTAGCTGCCTATTATTTAGAGAGTGCGCAAGTTAAATAGATGTGGCCCAATTAAGCGCTCTGGAGACGCGCTCATTTTCTATAAATGCCACTCCTTTTATGGACTTTATATGATTAGTCTTTAAACGCAAAGAGCGACTTAAAATGGGCTGTGGCTCGGTGTGAAGTGTTTCCAGCGAGCGCATCTTGTGCGCCTTAAAGTGATTTGTGTTGTTTGCGGGCAGAGATGGATTTTTGACACTTGCCGCCCGGTTATTGTGACACAGCCTGTGATGGGATTTGGTAAGCAGAGGGGAGGAGCGGCAGCGCGCCAGGAGGGGAGGGGGGCTGCTTTCCTTACTGTCAGCTTCTTTCTTGATGATGTCTCGGGGTTTTTAGAAACTGCGTCTCTGACTCGGCGGCGCCACTAAGCCGCCCCCTCTCGACTGCGCAGAATGAGGTACTTTGGGAAACAGTAACCCTTTCAGGCTCTGCCCGGAGAACATTTTAGAAGCGTGTGAAAGGCAATACGCCGCCATGGCTGCAGCCCGGGAGTTGCGCACCTTTTAGATTCTCATGGTCCGGGTCCAGGTGGTCCTTGAGGTGATTCCTCAGATTAATTCCTAGTTCTGATTTAATAAGAAACTATCCAATTTGATTGTGTTACTACTAAATAATGTCAGCTCCTCATTTCTTTTCACCAAGACCGTTCAGTCTCAAATTTCATAACTAATCACCTTTCGGATATGCCTCTATTTCTTCTAACTCTAGCTGTTTGTTGCGCAAACAGGCTGTTTGCGCAACAAACAACCTATAGGCTGTTGGTAAGCCTCTGATTTAATCCCATATCTCCAGGTATAGAAAACAGAGTTATCACTCAAAAGGGCTGAGTTAGAAACAAAGTAAAATTGGGCCATTTCACTCAATTTTGCTTAAAAAAGGAAAGAGGCATGACTGCTAAAGAATTTCTGGACTTGGCTCAGCACATTGGGTTAGGTTTTAAACTAAAATGGTTACATTTTGTTAGTTATATCTATGTTAAAGCGGGGGATCAGGATTTACTGTTCAAGGTTAAGCAGTTAGCTAGAGTCGATATCCCTGTCACTATTTTTCAGTTATATAAATCTACAAGTTGCAGTCCAAGGGGGAAAAAAACAAAAGCAGAAATCTACCATCTGAATGAGCAATCAAAATATATTTTCGAAATGGGCTGCTCGGTGACGCAATGTGTAATACCTTGCAGCAATAATGTAGTGGGTTTGATGCCTTGCCCGTGGTCTTTCTGCATGGAGTTTGCATTTTCTCCTTGAGCATGCATGGGTTCTCTCCAGGTACTCCAGCTTCCTTCCACAGTCCAAAAACATGACCGTTAAGTTAATTGGCTTCTCTAAATTCTCCTTAGGTGTGTGTGTGTGCGTGAATGGTTGTTTGTCTCTGTGTTGGCCTGCGATGGACTGGCGACATGTCCAGGGTGGACCCTGTAGACAGCTGGAGATAGGTACCACCATCCCTCATGACCCCACTTGGGATAAAGCGTGTCAGAAAATGGATGGATTTTTGACATATTGCTGCTAAAATGTTTTAAAAATGTAAATGTTAAAGAAGCAAGTAGGCTACTTGCTTGTGCTACCCCATAGCAGATAAAAAGCTAATTTAATCCAAAATGAACAATTTTCTTCTCCTGTTTTAACACAACCCACTGATGGTTTTACCATTAAATCATTTTGTCTACATCCTCAATCTGATCAGGTCTTTGCATTGTCCAAAATGGCCCTCCGTAAAAAACAAATGTCAATAGTGTATTAGAAATTAATTTGGTGAGTAAGTTTAACAAAAGCATTAGAAAAATATTGTATCTTAATTGATTTGTCCCTCATACTAAGATAGAAAAAAGACACACTTATGAGGAATTGTTTTAGTTTGAAATCCCATTCATATTCTTTACCACCTGTTCACAGGAAGGCAGGGGCCTCATTCAATTAGTCGGCAGGTTACTGTTCTTTTAGATAGAACATCCTGAAGAGGGCGCCAGTCCATCAAACTAAACCTTTTTAAACCTTTCTGAATAAATGGCAAGTCAAATTGTTCTCTTACTACCACAGTTATGATATGCTGTTCACTGACAGTTTTCCACCTACCAAGCTCAGTTCACAAGCAAGCGTGACTCTAGCCTTAGCACTATCATTCAACTACTAAAAACCCGACCAACACAGACATTTCCAAAACAAGTCTCATTAGTGAGCTGCACAATGGAGCAGTCTGTTTGCCTTGTTGCAAGTAGGTCCAGGGTTCAATACCCAATATGATCAATACTCTATGATCTTCCTGCATGGACTTTGCCTTTTCTGCCAAGGCTTGCTTGGGTTTTCTTCAGGTAGTCTTGCTTCCTCCCACAGTCCATGTCTGTCAGGTTAATAGGTGTCTCTAAATTCTTCTTACATGTTTGCGTGTATGTCTCTATGTTTGACTTTGATGGATTGGCAACCTGTCCAGGGTGTATCCCGCATTTCACAAATAGGCTGCAAGAGATAGGGACCAGTCCTACTGCGACCCTGACAGAGTAAGCGAGAGAAGATGGATGTTATGATGGAAGATGGTTGAATGGAAGTCATTACAGGCCTTAATTATTAGCTTGTTGAATCTATTTTCAAGTCATACTCTCTGGTGCTGCTACTCCAGCAGATGATGGCTTAAGAGTTCACACAACAGACTTATAGATGACTGCAGCATCTTGCTGCAAACGCCGAAGGACCTAAACTTCCTAAAAAAGTATGATCTGCTCTGTCCTTTCCTGTAC